ATAAGCGATGTCAGCCTGCAATGCACGCACAACACACGCACACGCACACGCACACGCACACGCACACGCACACGCACACGCACACGCACACGCACACGCACACGCACACGCACACGCACACGCATACCACACTTGCACGCACACGCACATGAACACGCATGAACACACACACATGCGCACACAGACACACACAGACACATGCACACACATGCGCAGACACGCACACGCACACACACACATGCGCACACACCACACACACACACACACCCGGCACACACACGTGCACACACGTGCACATCCGAACACCCGCCCACACGCATTCGCCCACCGCCCCCGCCCCCCCACCCCCCCGGCCCACACACACACACAGAGACACATGCGTGCACATAAACAAATATACATACCTTTATGTATATGTATGTAGAAATATCGGTATACGCATAAATATGTGTATATATATTTATGTATTTAGAGTAGAGATGAGTAAATATTGGGGCAGAGCATGGCGGTGGCTCGTCAGAGGTCCAGGTTGCTTCCATAAAGCCCCTTTGCTTGTCATGTCTAGGTTTTAAGATGCAGCCTGGAGCGGTCATTGCAGCCGTACTCCAATGCATCGCACTCCTTTGCCCTGAGCCCATCATGCCAATGAACGCCTCCTCAAGCGCTAGCTTGGTGTCATTCACACTCATCTTTGTTTGCGCAGGCGTGCAGGCAGAAGGGATGAAGGTATGGCTTTGGGAGTGTTGGGTGGGCCGTGATTGTTTGCATCCGAGTGTGGCCTCTAAGCCCCAAGCCCGGGATGTGCGCAAGGCATGGGCACAAGCCTGTCCCGGCCGGTGAGGCGGCCGAGCCGCGGCCAGGCGGGCGGTGATGTTCATAGGGGGAGCCAGCCAGTCCAGAGGCGGAGTTGTGGGCAGTGCCCTTATGTACCAAGAACACGCTGGAGGCAAAAACCAACAGTGAGGAAGTTCAGGTGATATAGGCAGTCTTGGCAGTGTCGCTTTCTGCAAGAGCATTTGACAATTATGCATATGTATATATGTATATATATATATATGTGTATGTACATAGGTTAATTTTGGTATTGGGTTTTGATGCGATTCACACTGCGCCGTGTTTATTATGAGCTTCGACCTGGACATCCCCAGGCCTCGCTTCAGCTGCAGACCAAGCTGCCTCCGCGGCCGGTGGTCGCAGCCCGGGCCAGCAGCCAAGCGGCCGTGGCTCTTCGCAGCCGGGAGGTGGAGAGACAGCCGGCCATTCTCAGACAGAGATCCTCACCAGCCGCTGGGCAGAGGCCTCCAGAGAGGGCAGCAAGCTGCAAGCTCAAACCTTAAATTAAATGGATTGACTTTGGCAGGTTGGAAGCTCAATTCCGTACATAGAGCCCCAAGTTGCCGAAATGTCGGATTTGAAGTTGCCAATCAAAGCATAGAAGTTGCAGACTGGCTTGGCATTTCTGGCTTGCCTTGGCCTACAGCTTCAGAGCACTCGGCCAGTGGCCGGTCCGCGTGCCAGCTGAGGACAGCGCCACAGCCGCCCAGCGATTCCAGCAGGCGGCCAGGCGCCCATCACAGCAAGAAGCGCTGCGGATGAAGCCTACCGCAAAGCCAGGCTCGCAGAAGCCGGGCTTGTCGCGCTTTACCACAGCTCCTCGGTCTGAGTCTTTGCTCCAGTGCGTCACTAGGTCCCCCCCCCCCGCTCGAACGTGTGCGTCCTGCTGACCTTTCTGGAAAGGCATTGAAAAGCCTTCAGATGATCGAGACAGCAGGATTGCCATCGCAGCAAGAGGGTCTGAGCAATGCAGAGATGCTCACTGCACCTGGTTCCGATGATGCTTCATGCACAAACGAACAATGGTTTCCCATGGTTTCAAGCTGGTGCAGAACGGATTCCGTCCACCCACAGTATGAATCCACACTGTGATTCAGCTTGCTGTTGCTCGCCTCGGCCGGCCTCAAGCCCAGGCTCAGAAGGGAACCTTTCAGAAGGCGCTGCAGGAGATCCGCAACGGCCGGAAGACCAGCTGCTGGATGTGGCGCCCCGCCTCTCTTGTTTCGGACAAGCCGGGGAGGGAACTTGCCATGATCAAAAGCTCGGCCTCTATATATCAGCACCAAATTGGGAAGATAGGCGGGTGAAGGGGGATACCAAGATAGGGTAAGTTGCCACTCGCCTAGGTGGTAAGTTGCCAGCCTTGCGTGCACATGCGTGGTAAATTGGAGCGTAAGCTTTGGCCAGCTAGAAGTCTCAAGCTTTGGATCCCATAGGCACGCATGCTCCATTGCTCCTCTTCTTTCCACCGGCTTGCTTTCCTTGGCTCAAACCTTTCAGCGTTGGAAAGGCCGGCGATGGGAACTCGACAGGGCTGCAAAATGAATTCGCGAACGGACCAAGAGCAGAAAGCAATTGCGCGAAAAAGCCTGCTGAGCACCTGCGAAAGGAAAGCGGGCCGAAAGGACAGCGAAAGGCCGGCGAAAGGGACACGCCCAGGCACCGTAATTTTGAACAACGCGCATATATGCCGGCTACCAAAACTATTGTCGTTTTCGTGCCTGAAAGTATCGCTGCTGGTGTGGAAGCCTGTCCCCACCAATGAAGAAACAACAACATACAAATTAAATTGGGCTTCAATCATGTGTACACCTCCCGTGTTTGGGTCTCCACGCAAGTCTGCAGCCAATGGTATCCCCTGTTGTGTGCTAGGTTTGTGATCCCCACGCCGCCGTACATCGTCAACGGCGTGGAGAAGGGCAGCTCAGTGAACCGCAAGTTCGCGCTGTCTGATGATGAGGCAACCTGGAGTTTGGATCATCGAAAGGAGCATTGCAGCAGTTCTTTGTCTTGAGGGATGTTGCGTGCCCCCCTCCCCGTGTTTGATCTGTGACAAAGGCACTCCGTGGATGTTCGCTGGATGGCCGATTTCCCTTTGCCTTGCCTCGCGCAAGTGCGCTTGCGAGTCCTAGGGGTTCGTTCCACTAGAAGCCAGACCAACCAACCCCAGCTGGCCAATGCACGACAGGACCAGCTAGGCGATGAGCTTGACGTGATAATTTCTAAAACGAGGGGCAGTCGCATGAAGTCGCTGTGAGATATGAAGTCTTAGTTGTTCCTTGCCCCGCTTCATTTCAGGAATACCTGATGCATCCTGATAAAAGGGCACATCTTTTTCTCAGGCACGTGCACAAGTTTGGCACTGGGCAAGCAAAGCCGCTGCCAAATCATCGGGACAGAACAATGGGGTCTCCTGGTTGACAGACAGCTGCCCAAGCAGAACCGGAGGGCGCTTTCCTTTTCTCTTTCAAAACTGGCGAACCCCTACACTGAGGCAAGGGCCTACCTTGAGTTCGAGGCAGAGGGTGTCAACCTCCGTCAGAACTACTTGGACGCTCGGAGTGTTTTTGCAGCCGAAAGTTGGTCTTGAAACATTCGTTCAGCTCCTGCCCTTTTTGACCGTTTGCAGAGCCTCCTGACCTGTCAGGGAGGAAAGTCATATGTCTCATGCTAACAGCACTCTGTGGCAGTGGTTGCAGAGTGTAGGAGTTCAATCGTCGACTCTAGTTTTTTCTACGCAGAGCTGTCAACTCTGAGAGGCTCGGCCTGGTGAGTGCAAGCCCACAATCTTACAAACACCATGGGCGGCACCCGAGTGTCCCTTTTTGTCAACACAATTACTTGTGTTACCTTCCCTAGAAAGTACTCCCTGAGCCCGTGGCACAGGACATGATGACAGCCGTCCTGGAGCAGTTGAAGGCCGGCCGCACGCCCGTGGCGCTCATGGGCAGCATGGACGCGCCGAAGCTGTCCAGCTCTGTGCAGCTCCTTGGCCTTGCGTGGCACGAGGTTTTCTTCCGGACCTCTGCCAAGTGGAGGGACCTCTGCGTGGCCGACCTCTCGCTAAAAATTCCAAGTGGGACAAGTTGAACGCCCAAACAGTAGAAATGGAGGGGTAGGCAAGGTTCGAGCCCCGTTTTTTCGTTTCCCAGATGGAAGTCACAAATCCTTGTGCCAGCTTCGTTGGAGCAGTTTCCAGCAGGCTGGACCTACGCGACTGCGGGTAAGAAGTTGTAAAAGTCTACAAGTAGCCGAACTAGTCACAAGGGTTGTGCAAACTTTGTCCTTTGCCAAATTTCAGCTTGCGGTGTATGACTGCGCTGGCAAGAGCTGCTGTTGTTCTCCGCTGAGGCCCATGTAAAAGGCGAAGCCAAGATTCGCATGGCAATGAGCCTCCACAAGTGGGCCAATCACGGACTGAAACATCATGTGTTTCAGGCTTAGGTGGGGTCATCTCAGAAGCTTGAAACATAAATTGGACTGCGGTAAATGGTGGTGTCAAGCGAGCTGATCGAGCTGTTATCCTCCAGACATTGTCGGCGTCCAGTTGTTTGAACCGTTCACCCCCCCCCCCGAGAACGGCTGCGTGAACATACCCTGTCGCAGAAGGGTCAAAGAAGACTTGAAGAAAAGGTTGCTCTCCTGCCGGGGAATACTGGTTTGACTTTCCTTTGGCTCCTCACACTGGAAAGGCTGAGCATCGAGGAAATGTTTTTTGGATGTGTTCAGATCACATACCCTCCTAACCCCGAAAAGCAATTTCCTTACCCTTGAAACAGAAGACTCCTAACACCGAAAGGGTGTTCAGATGGTGGATGAGGTTCGCGGCAGGGAGTTGCCTGAGGCCCCAGCTGGATCGATTTAGCACTGCCCGTTCGGCGGAGGCTGTTTGAGCGGATCAGCAATGGCGCGGACCCCGAGCTCAACAAAGTGCTCCGAGACATCAAGGCAGTTCTGCGCTGACTGAGCCAATGCCGGAATCCAGAGGTAGCCCTAGCCTCAAGCCCCCTTCCAAATCAAGCATCAGTAAGACACACACACTTTCGCGGTGGTTGAATCCGCGGCCTGGGCAACCGAATCACGGAATACCGAGCTGAAAGAGAGAGAGAGAGAGAGAGAGAGAGAGATAGAGAGATCCCGCAGATGTGTTCAGAAGGACTAGTGGGCGCAAAGCGCACAGAGTCTCAAGCTGCTGATGTGCTTGTCTCCGGTCAGAAGGAACTCATCCTGAGTTGCCTGGCGGCCAAGCCGCGCTGAGCCCCACGGCCAGGCTCCACGGGTTACCAAGGGGTAACCTGTGAAAAAGCAATGGCCGAGGTCTGATTTCGGTGCATCCGGAGCTGGCGCGAGTTGGGAGCAATCTGTTTGCAGACAAGCTGGGTAAGAGTGAAGCGACAATACCGGATGCACCCTGCTCACCTGGGCAGCCATTTGTTGCAGCCAGGCCATGCCCAAACAGGAAGGCATTGCCCAACTGGATGCCACATGGAAAAGGCGCGTTCTGTTGAGAAACCAAAGCCGTGCGCGACAGCATCTGACCATGCCGAAGAATCAACTTGTGGTGGCAGGTTGTGATGTTACAACCTGGCACATGTTAATTGTGACCACAGCTACGGCCATGACCCAGCACGGACTTTGTATCCAGGATGCCCTCCCTCGCATCCTTGACCGAGGTCGGCTTGGCTCGCAGCTTGCGAAGGCGCTGGGGTTTCAGCTCGTTCAACGCAATCCTGGACAATTGGACCAGTCGGCAGGAATGTGAAAGGACCCTGAGTCATGGCTGAGGTTCTGACGGTGAAGATTCTTAGGACACCTTAGGCCTCTTTGAGCTGCTTTGCTTGAGTTTGGAGAATGGCCAGATGTGTCGGAACTTAGAACTCCTGCAAATGGTTTACTTTTTTAATGTTGCTTCCTCTTGAGAACCGTCCCCCTCAAAGAAAGAGTTGCACCTTTGCGCTGGGGCAAATCGTGTCGTCCATACCGTGCCACTTGAGGCTTGCCGTGCTTTGGCTCAAATGGCTTATGGCCAAGGCCCTTTGAAAGCATCACAAGCTTTTACAAGCATTGACAGAGACCTGCACGCTTCCCAGTGCCTAACTGAGATATGGTGCCCTTTGGGGACTGTCAGATGCAAGCACTTGCAGGCTCCAGACGAATTCCACACACACATCTAGCCACATACTAAGTAGTACATCACAATATACTTTTCGTATCTCTATATAGATGCAGATTCTACTTGGGTCTGCATATTCAGCTTATTTACGGAGCATTGCCCAAACTTGCAGCCCACCAAAGAAAGCCTTTTGATCGCTGCATGAGCCCCTGGCGCATGCTTCAAGTTGGCTGGCATGGCTGATGCACCACCTTCCCAGGAGGGCATGTACCATCTCGGGCGGTGTGAGGGGCCTGGGCGGTGATTCCCTGCTGATTGGGTCCTGGTCAGCGGAGTTCTTGTCTAGAGAGACTCGCTGCTAAGTAGAGACAGGGGGGATTGCCTTGTCCCCTGAGAGGAAGAAAACAGGTGTGCAAGAGCAAAATTGGCACTAGCCACTTCGACTGCGGCAGGAGCCAGCCGGCGCAAACAGTGCCGTTCCGAGCGAGGTGAATGGCACTGGGCTGGCAGATGCAGTGTGCCTGGCTAAAGTTGGGCGGGCCACAGCTGAATGAACAGCTGATATGTTGACTAGTCAGGATTCTGAGTCGCGTCCAGTGTGTGCCAGTTGCTGCCAGGCTCCGAAGCCAATGCAGGTGGGGACGGCTCGGTTGGGAAGTGGTTAACATGGGCTGGAAGGCACATGTCACATGACTCTTTGCGAGTTGCATTGCTGAATTTGCCGTTCCAGACAAGTCATGCAGAGATGCGTCATGCAGAGCTTGTTGCAACGTGGAGCTGTCAACTCTCAATGAATGGTCTGCAAAATGGCCAGTATGCTTGCCTCCTTGGCATGATTCCGGTTGTGAAAGGGGACCACGCACCCCGCAAAGACTGGGCTCATTCACCAAGATTGGCAGGAGCCGCAGCCAAAGAGCAATGCAACACCTTGTGAGGTCAAGGGCTTGGGCATGGCCTTGTCGCAAGAAGGGTCATCAGCCCAAGTGTGCCTTTTCCCTGGCTTTTGTTTGCCAGGCAACCTAAATCAACGTGTGTGGTTGCCAAAAAGTTGGTGTCAGATTTGTTTGATGTGCTATGACGCAATATTGGATTCGGCAGCTGACGCTAGCTTATGAGATTTGCAAAACTTCTACCGCCCTTGGTAGGAAGGCTGCTGGATGCTAATTGCTGCAGGGTTTTCGCTGGGACACTTCAACTGCTGCAGGAGCCAGCTGGCGCAAACAGTGCCGTTCCGAGCGAGGTGAATGGCACTGGGCTGGCAGATGCAGTGTGCCTGGCTAAAGTTGGGCGGGCCACAGCTGAATGAACAGCTGATATGTTGACCAGTCAGGATTCTGAGTCGCGTCCAGTGTGTGCCAGTTGCTGCCAGGCTCCGAAGCCAATGCAGGTGGGGACGGCTCGGTTGGGAAGTGGTTAACATGGGCTGGAAGGCACATGTCACATGACTCTTTGCGAGTTGCATTGCTGAATTTGCCGTGCCAGACAAGTCATGCAGAGATGCGTCATGCAGAGCTTGTTGCAACGTGGAGCTGTCAACTCTCAATGAATGGTCTGCAAAATGGCCAGTATGCTTGCCTCCTTGGCATGATTCCGGTTGTGAAAGGGGACCACGCACCCCGCAAAGACTGGGCTCATTCACCAAGATTTGCAGGAGCCGCAGCCAAAGAGCAATGCAACACCTTGTGAGGTCAAGGGCTTGGGCATGGCCTTGTCGCAAGAAGGGTCATCAGCCCAAGTGTGCCTTTTCCCTGGCTTTTGTTTGCCAGGCAACCCAAATCAACGTGTGTGTTGTTGCCAGCAAGTTGGTGTCAGATTTGTTTGATGTGCTATGACGCAATATTGGATTCGGCAGCTGACGCTAGCTTATGAGATTGGCAAATTTCCAAAACTTCTACCGCCCTTTCGGGGTAGGAAGGCTGCTGGATGCTAATTAGCTAATTGCTGCAGGGTTTTCGCTGGGACACTTTGACTGCGGCAGGAGCCAGCCGGCGCAAACAGTGCCGTTCCGAGCGAGGTGAATGGCACTGGGCTGGCAGATGCAGTGTGCCTGGCTAAAGTTGGGCGGGCCACAGCTGAATGAACAGCTGATATGTTGGCCAGTCAGGATTCTGAGTCGCGTCCAGTGTGTGCCAGTTGCTGCCAGGCTCCGAAGCCACTGCAGGTGGGGACGGCTCGGTTGGGAAGTGGTTAACATGGGCTGGAAGGCACATGTCACATGACTCTTTGCGAGTTGCATTGCTGAATTTGCCGTGCCAGACAAGTCATGCAGAGATGCGTCATGCAGAGCTTGTTGCAACGTGAAGCTGTCAACTCTCAATGAATGGTCTGCAGAATGGCCAGTATGCTTGCCTCCTTGGCATGATTCCGGTTGTGAAAGGGGACCACGCACCCCGCAAAGACTGGCATCATTCACCAAGATTTGCAGGAGCCGCAGCCAAAGAGCAATGCAACACCTTGTGAGGTCAAGGGCTTGGGCATGGCCTTGTCGCAAGAAGGGTCATCAGCCCAAGTGTGCCTTTTCCCTGGCTTTTGTTTGCCAGGCAACCCAAATCGACGTGTGTGGTTGCCACCAAGCACGGCAGACTGCTTTTGTTGGATTTACTTGACGTATGACGCAATTCAGCAGCTGACGCTAGCTTCTGGGATTGCCAGGGTTTTTGCGGGGCATGTCGACTGTGGCAGGAGCCAGCCGGCGCAAACAGCGCCGCGCCGAGCGAGGGGAATGACAAGGAGCTGGCAGATGCAGTGGGGCTGGCTAAAGTTGTGCGTGGACCGAACGGCAAAGAGCATCCTCTCAATTGAAGCACGGATAAATTTCCAAGATTTAAAGTATGTCTATGTGATAAAGAGGGAGAGAGAAGTAGACGATGGACCAGCTTGTAAATGGATCATGGGCGAGAAAGACCTTGAGTGATTAATAGATAATACATTCCTTTGTTTACAATCTAATATGTGGATAGTTTTAGGTGGTGTAAGGGATGGCAAAACGTGGCGGACTTGGGGACGAGATCTTTTGTGCATTTGTGAGGCCATGTGCCACCTGGGCAGGGCAACATATTTTTGCAGAATGCTGTTTCTGGCATCAGCTGTTCTTTGCTTCTTTAGTGCTCGTGCTTGAACAGCAAAAGGCGGCTTTGCGTCGCGCACACTACGCAGAGAGCCGCTCAATTCCGCAGCACGGTCGAGCTTTGAGCAGTTGCTGTCGCGCGACAGCTTCTCCCAATGATGGGGCATTGTGGCTTTGCACCACGCATCACCAGCGTCTCCAGCGCACACCAGCTCCCAAATCGACCAGACCTGAAACAAGCCCAAAAACAAAAACAGACCCCAACCACAAGCATTGATACAGCAAGGCTCATCATGGTATTGTGCGCCGCATCCATCACCATCATCATAATCGGATTTCGGACGTGAGCGAGCTTAGAGCCGGAGTGCCCGGAGGATTGCAAGACGCCTGAAAGCAACCTACGTTCGCTGCAGGAACAGTTTGAATGGTTGTGGCCATTTGCACGGATAATCAACAACCGGAAATGCCAACGGCCAGGCTTCTACACCAGCGCAGGCTGGCAATTGCTTGTTTGTTCTTGCGTATTTTTGTTGCGAAGCTTGAGGGGCGTCATTGGTTCTGCATGTGTTGCTTGTGTGCGTGTGGCGTGTTGGTCTCGAGTGTGACAATCAGTGTGCAGAAATTCAGAATGGCTTGTGATGGTATAGCTGGGCCTGGCCACAGTCTTTGTCCGCACTACTTGCCAATATTTGCTATGGCAAAGCTCGTGCCCGGTTTGCCGCCCATGCGACAGTGAAATGAGTGCTTGTTGCGCAGTTGGATTCAAACAAAAGATGTTCTTACCGGCCTTAAGCAACAAAAGCCGTTTGTGTTCGCTTGGCCACAGGGGAGGATTGTGTATTCAGTAGCTTGTGCCTTGCAAGGCCAGCTGGATGTGTCCCAAGTGCGACGAGCCAAACAAGCCTTTGCGGGCCACATGGTGCCAAGGGAGCCAGGTCGTCGCGCCAACAGTCGTGTTAGTCTCTTTTTGCCTCGCCTTCTTTTAGGTATGAAACTTTCAAGCCGCCAGCCAATATGGGCTTAGAGTTTCTTGATGCCCAAGAAAAGGGGAATGGATTTGGATTCGCATGGATTTGTGGCTCCCTCTTTCTGTTTGTTTCCAACATGCAGAGACCTCAAATCATGACATTAATTTTGCCGCAACGGGCCTTTAGGGAATCAGGCACGTTACCCGTTACCCTCCCACCAACTAGCATGGAACCTGACGGGGGTCCCTTCAAAAGCAAAATGGTCTTCCAGGACCCCCCTGTCAGGTGCCATGTGAATTGGTGGGAGGGTAGTATGAGATACCTTTTTCGCAGCTCATGGCATGCAGGCAGCCAGACCTAAGGCAGCCAGACCTAGTCAAAGCTTGATGCGCCGCTAAGGAGCAGTGCAACAATTGCGGAGCTGCGAAGCCTGGCGAGGCGAGGGTGTCCGAATATTTTTTGAGCCCGATGAAGGGCGGAGCTGGAAAGCGAAGCCACGCTTGTTTCCATAATCTTGGAACCTTCTGTGGAAAAGCTTCGTGCAATTTCAGCATTTCAAGAATCCTTTGGGCTTGTCGCTTGTGAACAGCTTACGTCTTGCCTCAGGGGAAGCAGACGCCAGTGACCGCAGCTGCTCCAGCGCCAGCTGCTGCAGCTGCTGCTCCAGCTCCAGCGCCTGAGAGTTCCGCGGCTTGAAGGGTGCTCAATGCCTGGTGTTCATGGTTACTTTCCCCCCACTGCGCTGCTCCAGTGGTGAGGCCATTGCTGTCTGTATGCTACGCCTGGAGCTGGTGTGATCCTAGTGCATGTGCTGCGGGATTTTGCTACATTGCTCACGGGCGGTGGCTGCAGTGCGACCCTGTGCCCGTATTTGTTGAAAGCTTCTCAACTCACAGGCCAGTGGCCAGCGGATACACACTACAGAGTTGATCGTAGTGCCACTGCGCCACTAGAAGCTTGGCCAACGCGCTTCAAGATGGGGCGGGTTCACATCAATTGGGTTATCTTCGCGTGACGTGCTCGTAGGCTCATTGTTGCAACTTGAAGAAAGGTTACGTATGGGTTGCATTCCAGCCGCAGCCAGTTGCAGGATGGACTTGCCCATCCTGCGATGAGCCGAACAAGGGTGAGCGGACAGTTTGTAATAGCCGCTTGCCTGCATTTGTTGTACCCTCTCACCAGCAAACACCAAACCGCACCCCTCAAGGAAGGCAATCTTCCGAAAGTGGTTGTGCACTTCCAGTTTTGTGGGTCGGTTGGTCTGACTTCAATCCCTCGCCTGGCCGAAACGGGAACCTCGCAGGGGCCATGGTGCGGGCCCCATAAAAAACACATCCCTTCAGAAAAAAAGGATGTTGCAAGCGAAGGAGAATTTGTTCGCCTGTAAAGCGAAGGAAAAATGGGCAGTGAGGCCTGGCACGCCTTCGCAGATGTGCCCCCTTTGCACAGATGTGTTTGCGGGAATAGAAGCGCCAATGTCGCTAGCGATCCACCAGAGGCAAGATCTGCAAGGTATTCCTGTCGCATTTAGAACAATCTTGTTTGAGCCAAAGTCTCACGGCTTGCTGTGGTTCAGCTCTAGAAACCAATGTCCACGTATGTGCTGAGGCTGCCAGCAGCCTAGACCAAAGCCGAAGGAGAAGTGGGTGCCGTGACTGCATGTGGTGATTGAGCCATTTGCCAAGGTCAAAGGATTGCACTCAAGAACTGCAAGGGTTTGACGATTGGGACAACCATGAGGAATACACAGATTGCGTGAAGGGTGGAAGTACATGGTGTGTTGCTCGGTGCGCAGGTGTGTCCTCGATGCGAACTTTGGCTGCACCTTGCAGGGGTGATATCAGGGATGTTGGATATGTCTGGTTCGATTGGTGCAAGAAAGCAAGCAACCCCTAATTTGCGGGTAGGCCGAGCCAAAACAAACTAGAAGGAGGAAAACACCGGCGGAACTGCGGTTTGACCTATGTGGAGGCAAACATGTTTTTAGGCCATCAAAGTGCGGACGCACACGCATAAGCGCTTGCCAAAGACTGCTGACAACCGAATCCACCAATGTGCACTTGGAACCGTTGCTTACTTCCTCAAACATTGAGCTGTAGCGAGCTGGTCCGCTCTTGACACATGCATGCATGTTGCACTCAAGAGGGTAGCTAATACACAGATTGTTGCTGTGCACAAAAACTGCAGTTTTGTGTTTGGTCGACATTCCATCGATCTATCAGTCAAACCAAACCAATTAATACGGTCAAGGCAAAGCGAAATTTCCCTCGTTTGATTATTAAATTAGTCATGCAGGCACTACGCTCTGAACATTGGAATGGGCAAGGGCCACCCATGTAATTGGTCACAGTTTGTGGAAGAGGCTGGCTTCTGTGATTCAATGATCCCATAAACCATGTCCGCGCTGCGAAGAACTCGCAGGCAGTGCCGTTTGGGGCTCCGCCCAGCTTGGCTCTCAGGACGAACCGAACAAGGATGAGCGCAATGAGTGCAACAACTGCGGCACCTCGGCATTTGAGCATCTGTAAGGACAACTTGATGCGTCATAGACCTCAAGCTGACAGATATCAATATGATATGTCAGAGACGGTTTGAAAACTCTGGCAGCCGAATGTGCGTCGGACTTTTTCTGCGGACCTCCTTCCCCCACCCCCCTCCCCCACCTGCAGCTGCAGTCTGTGAAATCCAAGGATGGGTGAAGCGAAGCAAATCTGCTTGGCACTCAGCGAAATTGCTGCAAGCAAGCTGATGAGTTGTTTTCCTCCCGGATGGCACGCTGCCGGGTCGCTAAAAACACAATGAGTCACGAGTTGTTCTCAGACCCGAGAGTTGACTTGCATACTGAAGGCTGGTTTGCGTGTAGGCACCCAGGCTGACACACCCAAGTCGTTCAGCGCATGGATTGAGAGGTTGTGAAGCTTCTCGCTTGAACCAGCAAGCCGCCATTCGGGTTCCCTTTTGAGCAGCTGTTTGTGAAAGAGGAGTGTGAAACAGGTCCAAGCTAGAAACTGGGATCAAACTTGGCATGTGGGTGTTTTTTTTTTTTTCTTGAGGGTACTCTTTTTATGGCATCTTTCATGGGGAGCAAAACTAGAAAATGAAACCCACATAATCCACCTTGGAGGTTCCCTTTTTTTTTGAGACGCCCATAAAAGTTGCCTTCCGAGCAACGGAGGTCCGACTCGCCGCAGGTCATCTCCCTGGGGGACTCTGACGAGGAGAAGCCTGCGGCGCCCGCGGCTGCGAAGGCGGCGCCAGCACCTGCTGCGGCCCCAGCCAGGTCCATGGAACCTCCCTGAAGACGGGCTGACAGGGGTCCCCATTTATCCATCTTCTTTGTTTTTGGGTTTTCCACAGCACCTTTTTGGCCCATAGGTGAGCTTCCCTTCATGGGGGCGATGTTTTGAGGGGAAATATAGGGAGCCCTGTTAAGAACCATATTCAATTTAAGCTGACAAAGACGCAGGGATACCTACAAAAGGGACGGAGTGAAGCTGATGTCTTCCAAAAATACTAGTTATGATTTTAGTCCGGGACTTCTAGCCTCGGTGCCTGTTCCCCGCAAGTTCATCAATCACGCGGCTGCCCCCATGAAATTGGGTTGGTTCCAGCAGCGTCAGCAACCTCTTGTTTTCCGTACAACGTCCCAGGCTGCAAAGGCTGCCACCGCACCAGGCGCGCCTGGTCCATTCGGGGTCTCAAAATGTCTCAAAGACAGCCATGCGGCCCAACCGTTCAACCTGGATCGCTTGAACATTCGAAGGTCAAGAGTGTGCTGCGAGACCAGTCAAGTTGGCAAGGTACAAGTCAGGCGCAAGCCCGACCAAGTCTTAGAAAATGACAACGAGGTGTTGGCAAAAATTAGCAACTTTGCGTGCAAGTCCCTGTTTCCTCCATATGCCCCCAGGTGCTTCCAGGAGGCATGTCCTGTTCTTGACACTTTGTGGCTGTGCATGCTGAGATGCCAAAAAGACTTAAAAGCAGAAGCCGGTGAGTGTTGTCACATGGTGGTTGCTGCCCGAACACTGTAGAAGACAATTGCAAGGGTGTGATCAAAGCCTGCCTGTGTGTAGTTATCGTCGTTGTCATCGTCATCAGCTGCGGTAGCAAGCGAGCCATCAGCGTCATTGTCAGCAACAGCAGCGACATCAACGTGAGCATTAACAGCAGCCACAGCAACACATCAGCATGAGTGTCATTGTTTCATTTGCTGCCCAATCACCATATCCATGAGAGCAAGAACACCAGGGAGGGGCGACAAACGATGTGTTCTTGGCTGCGAGTCACTTCCGCTTGCCCAGCCGTGCATACCTTGCAGGTAAACGGATCTTGAAATGATCAAGCATATGCAGCCCCCTATTCAGCCCCCGTGTTTCTTCTTTTTGTTAACCAACTTTTAACCAACCCGTCTTTTCAACGCACCGCAATCCATGTCGATTGTTCCCAGATCTGTTGGGTCCAAGAAAAATGCCTTCCTCGCAGGCCAGCGAACTCGGAGTTCCAGCAGCTCCAGCAGCTCCTCCAGTGCCTTGGATGGACCCCATGTTTTTGAGGGGGATTCCATGGGAGCGTCATACCACTGTATCTGCTACTTAAAGGGGCCTGGTACGTGGTAAGTGGGGGGAAGAACCATGGTTATAAGCCACTTGCCATGGTTGTATGTCTCCGAGTGGGATGACCATAGTGACACTTACTAAGTTGGCTATGCTTGATGTCGGAAAGCCTTTGGAACACCAGTCCCAAACAATGCGACGAGCTGATGACGCAGCTGGTGTAAAAGCAATTCCCCGAGTTAACCATGTGGGACCCACCATGGGTGTGAAGGGGAGCGCCCTTCCTCATTGCCGTGCGCCTGTGACACCTGTTTTTTTCTGCCGCTGTTTGCCATGTCAAAGCAGCCACACGACAGGTAGCAGCTCTGACTCATCGCGGGATCGCTTTCTTGGAAGGGAAAGGGAAGAGAGGCCGGGGCCGAAGAGTGGGATCTTCGACTTGATTGATGAGGAGTTTCTTCTGGA